CCTTACCGAACTTCGGGATTCGAGGATGACAACTCGTAGTTCCGGAAGGTGCACGTCTCTGCTAGCGACGCCTCGCCGTCATTCTGGCCCCAGTAGACGGCTATGCTGCCGGCATGGCATGTCGCGAGTAGCGCCACCAAGAGGGTGGCAGTGAGCTGGAGGAGAGGGAGAGCTCGGCTTGCCATGGCTGGGATCAAGCGGAGCGTACCTAGCTAGCTGCTTCCGAGGCAGTAGTGAGGAGGTGCGCTCTGTATTTTGAGTTGTGATGGATATTGGGTATGTTTGGATTTTATAGTGTCTCGATGGAGCGTCATGGACGCTTTCTTTAGTGGATTTCGCTTCGTGTCGTCGCTTGTCCGTTCCTGCGTCTAAATCTACCGGCAATGTTCGCGGTTAAAGTAAGGCTGAGATGCAGAACAAATTTCGTTGCAGCCGGTATGTTTCCATGCTAAATAATTTTACATTAGGACTGATCAACGGTTCACCAAAGATTAGTGAAAGCGAGTGCGTCTCCTAAAAAAAAGAGTGCGTCCAAATCACAAACGCTCCGCCGTACTCAACCAAAATATCAACAATACGTGCGATAGAAACTGTACCTTCTCCTCTGTTTTCTGGCGTACATACGAAATCTTACTCCTCTGGTCTTTTTTACTCCAATTCGTCAAAAGTAAAATTTCAGAAAGTATGACCAACTATAGAAAAGAAATATAAACATTCACAATGCGAAATCAAAATCATTAGATGCATCATGAATTTGACATTTCCATTGTATAACTTTAGAATTATAGATGTTGATATATTTTAATATAAATATGGTCAAACGCTATGAAATTTGGCTCCTGACAAATCTTATATATGGAGTAAAAAGAACCGCAGAGAGTACGATTTGTCAGGAGCCCATATATATGGAGTAAAAAGAACCGCAGGAAATCACGACCGTGCATCTCAGGAACGAAAAAAAAACATGTTTTCTCTCTTTTTTTTCTTTCGCAAGACGTACGGTTTTCCTTCCCCGAGAGGCACGGGCGTGCCTCTTTCGGAAAGGGAAAAAACCGTGCTCCCGAGTTGGTTTTTTCATATGGTTTTTGTCGTGAAGAAAAAGTTCGTCAAAACCTATCAACATGGGATCTAGGTTTGAAGATATCGACATGGGGAATCCAACGATAGAAACGGTTCGAGATTTGGACGCGCGGTTTAAGAGATAAAACGTTTTGAATAAACGAATCTACAAAAAAAGGAAACCTTCCAGGTTGCGACAAGTGGCGCACATCTCGCAACCTTGAAAGCTGGGAGTGATCTTTACAACGAGTACTTCTTAATTAGTGATTTCGCCAAGCCGGGCACGTTTATATCTCATTTATAGCAAGATGTAGGGTAGCCTCTCCTAAAGGCGACCACCAGAGAGTGACGGCCCAGGTGTGCGGGAGGCCACAGGCCACAACTTGATTTTTTTTTTCAAATGTTTTTTTCATGTTTTTATATGTGTATAAAAAAAATTCTTGTGTCTACGAAAAATGTATACAAAAATATACAAAGTTAACCAATCATTTGAAAAATGTTCATCACACATTTGGAAAATGTTAAATATGTATAGAAAAAAATGGTTCCCATGTATACAAAATATATACAATATGTATGAAAATAATGTTGATCATGCATTTTAAAAAGGTTAAACATGTATAAAAAATGTTGATCGTATATTTATAAGATGTTCAACATTTATAAAAAATATTGATCATGTGTTGAACACTTTAATGATGGCAATAGCTATTTTTCACACACAATGTACATTTTGTATATACATCAGAAACAATTTGCATACATGTTTAACATTTTTAAATACATAATTAACTTATTTTAGATGTATGTTTTTTGGTGTCTACTTTTATTTAATGTACGGTGTACATTTTTTGTATACACCAGTAACATTTTTATACACGTCTAATATTTTGAAAATGCGTGATCAAATATTTTTCATATAAACAATAAAAAAAGACCAATGAAAACTTAAGAATAAATAAAGGAAATCATTATAAAAAGAAAAAGAAAAAACCACAAAAAACCACCACAAATAGAATTGAAAACCGAGAAAGAAACAAAGAAAATGACAAAAACCGAAAACAAGAAAGATACAAAAAGAAAACCGGCAAAAAAAAGAAGAAAAGAAAAAATACCAGTGAAAACCAAGAAAGAAACAGAAAAATCAAAGAAAACAAAGAAAAATAGAGAATCGATAAAGACACAAAGAAAACCAGTGAAAAGCAAAAAAAGGGAAGAAAATCAGCAAAGAAACAAAGAAACCGAAAAGAGAAACAAAAAGAAACGATAAAAAACAAAGAAAACCGCGTTTGAACCAGGGAAAAAATAACAAAGAAGATCGTGAGCCAAGGAGCAAAAAAAAAACCCAAAGAAACGGGGCAACCCAGTTGCCACGTTAGATAAAAATCCTTCGGACGAGAGAAGTTACCAACTCGCACTAAGCGAGCAATAGCTCTCGCGCGCCACCCCTGCCCAACCCCGAGCGCCCGTAAGCACGAATGAACGGCACAGCTAGCCCACCCCACACTAGCACTGCTTGATTCCATGGAGACTACTCAGCATGCATGAGTAAAAAAAGTGTGTGTTGTTTCAAACACACGAGATTCAATACTTATCTTTTTCAAACTAAGCCTCCAAACCAGTAGCGGCGGCAGGATATCAATCCATGCATCAAGCAAGTTGTTAGATAACTGTATACTACATTGTGCTAAAGTGTTACTTTTTGCTACAGTCAACAAAGCCAAACTCCCCCACGCTCCAGGCCAACGCCCTGCCTGCCTGGGGCCTAACGCCACCCCTGCTCCAATCCATGATCTGCTTGAACGGCTGTACTTGTTGCAATGATGACATCATTCTAACAAGGCCAAACACATGTACATTTGGGCGATACTTTTTTGATATTTTTTTCTTTTGTGTGTGTGCGTGTTTGTGGGGGGGAGGGGGGAGGGGGTTGTGGGTACTACGATTATGTCCAATGAAGCCTGTGAGTTGTGTTGGGCGCATTTTTCCCATGGTGGTAATCGGCGGAAAACCTCTGTCGATTACCAGGGAAAAGGGTCCCATTTTTCGTCGATTACCATATTCAATGAAGCTCGTGAGTTGTGTTGGGCACACTTTTCACATGATGTGTCCAATGAAGCCCGTGAGTTGTGTTGGGCACATTTTTCCCATGGTGGTAATCGGCGGAAAACCTCTGTCGATTACCAGGGAAAAGTGTCCCATTTTTCGTCGATTACCATATTCAATGAAGCTCGTGAGTTGTGTTGGGCACACTTTTCACATGATGTGTCCAATGAAGCCCGTGAGTTGTGTTGGGCACACTTTTCACATGGTGGTAATTGCAATTTGATAGCTGGAATAACAACATAAGTAGAATGGTGATAAAAATAGCATATGCAACTAGATAACTAAATATTAAATCAGTGTCATGGTGGTAACTGCAACTTGAAATTTGGGTAACCATGCTACTGCTATCGTCATAACTATAACCTAAAGTGCCTGGTAATTATATTATTGTTATGATGGTAATGCCAAATTGAACGACTCAGTAAGTACATACATGTTATGGTGATCAGTACTACCTAGACATCTGAGTAATTACATCAATGCGATCCTGGTAAATATGACATATAGATTCTGTCGTGGAAAGCATTTACCTGAAAGTCTGGGTAACTACACCATTCTATGGTGATAATTATAACCTAAATACTCTCCATTCACAAATATAATACTCCCTTCGTTCCTAAATATTTGCCTTTTTAGAGATTTCGAATGAACTACCACATACGGATGTATATAGACATGTTTTAGAGTGTAGATTCACTCATTTTGCTCCGTATGTAGTTACTTGTTGAAATCTCTAGAAAGACAAATATTTAGGAACGGAGGGAGTATGTTCTAACTTTTTTCTAAATCTGATATATACAGATACATTTTAGTGTGTTCGTTCACTTATTTCAATCCGTATGTCCTTCAATGTGAAATATCCAAAACATTTTATATTTGTGAAAGGAGGGAGTAGTTGAGAAACTACATACATATGTGTGGTGGTAGCTGTAGTCTACAGTGGCAAGTATCAAGAGGTAATTCGCACCTACACATCCAGGGACGCAGCTCCTCTGACGTACGGCGCACTCGCTGACGTGTGGACCCGGACCCACGCGTCAGTGGCCCAACGTCAGGTGGCCGTACGTCAGGGGATCCGGCTCGCACATCCAGATACATATATTAGCACAACTGTAGTAACTATAATATGGACAACTGGGTAACTTCATTGGTGTAATAATGATACTTTAAACTGGACATCAAGATAATTACCGTGATCTTAGCATTTTGTAACTAATCACATACTATGATGCTGATTAATCACTAAACAGCCCGAGTACATTATCATTTTTTGCGGGGAGTACTACATTATCATTTACAATGATAACAGATCACTTAATAACTAGCTATGGTGGTTATTATCTAATATCGAGGTACCTATATCACCTGCAGCATGTCTGTAGCTGGTTACCCTGATAAAGATCAGGTAATATTTAATTGAATAACAATTGAAATATTTGGTGTCAAGTTCAGTAGTTAGTATGAAATGGTGGCCTCCTTTTCTTATGGATTAATTTAAATACTGGGCAATCTTTGGTTCCAAATACTGTTAACAATGTTATCACGATTTACTTATGGATTAATTCAATTGAAAAATGGTTAATATATTCAATATGATATGATCCGGAAAGAATATTTGAGATGTATTTAATTTCTTAAACGATTTTTCAGATATGATCATCATGTATACCCATCGATCATTTCTTCGCATGAAAGTCCGAATGAATGGACAACGAGTAATAGGATTCCCAAGAGAACGAAAGAAGTGACGTGGTCATAAACTTTGGAAGATGGGACTTGACAACTTGTTACATTACATGGTTAACTCATGCATGTGAGGATGGATTTATCCAATTTCACGATGACGTGGCCGGAGCAAGTCTGAGATCGAGGTCGAGCCCCACCCCCATCGCCGAGGCTTCCTCGGTGCTGTCATCCGCTGGAGTGCAGGCACGAGCACCACTGCTGGTGCTGATGGCGGCACTGCCGCAGTCCTCCTTTGGTTCCTGGAGCAGCCGCGGCTGGGCGTGGCACCCACCACCGGCCGGCAGAGCATGGAACGGCAGGCCCGCCGCTGACTGGTGCGCGAAGTAGACCCATCTGTGGAAGGCGTCCCGCGTGTAGGCCGACGACCCTGCGTGTCCCACGGCGATCAGGTGCCCCGGCGGCGGCGCGAAGTAGCTCATCCTGGCGTCCACGTGCAGGCGCGCGCGCTTCAGCTGCTGCCGCTCCTTCTTGTGCGCGTTCTGATGCCCGCCCAGCGCCTGCGAGTTGGCGAACTCGCGAGAGCAGTACTGGCACCCGAACCTCCGCGCGTCGGCCGGCGGCGTCGGCGGCGGAGTCAGCACGGCGGCAGCGGCGTCGGTGGCGCCGCCGGGCACGTCGTAGCCGAAGATCCTTAGGGACGACGGGCTTGCTGGCGTCATCTTGGGCTGGTCGCACCGTATGTCCGCCATGGATGATCTAGCTAGCTTGCTAGGTAACACGTAAGTGTTGAGGTGCTCAAGTGTCAGCGATGCACGAGGTGAGAGATTATGTAGCGCGCGGGGAGCGGAGGGAAGTCGCACCTGCTCGGAGAAAATGGAGTCATGCATGGGACGGGAAGAAATCGGAGGGCATGCATGCCTAGCAAGATTGGAGGTAGGTGAGTGAACATTGAGCAGATGGTCACACGCAACGCCAAAGCTTCCACCTTCCAGATGAGATATCAAAGTAGCATCGTTCTAGAACGGCAAAGTGCGTCTGCTTGTGCGCTACGCTGGCCCTCCGGGATGCCATTCTCGTACCGCTCGATGTATGGGTGTGAATGACATCTTTATCGATTGTGTCGTTTGTAGATGGTGACATGAAGGTTCCATGAGTTCCGCGCAAGTAGGACGTACGGAAAGACCCATTAGCTTACCTGCACCTTTCCCTTCTTGTCAATACTCAGTACCAACCAAGGAGAATTTTTTCACTTTATATAAGAACTTCAGAAATAGATTGGTAGAGAAAAAAGTTAAGAATAGGTTTGCTTCTCTCTATTAGTCTATGGGCCAACAAATTAAGAGGATTCACGTGGTAAAAACATTGTTTGCATATACAAGAAGATTCACACACTAATTACATTATTTGATAAGAAGCTTCTAGGCGCCCGGCTGTGCATTTGAAGGAGCATTTAATTAGTTAGATAATATTTCTCTTAAGTGGGCTGAACCTACAGGAGTCTTGCACTGCTGTGTGAGCAATATTTTACGTGTGCATAGGGTGTTGTTCACAGGACGAACATTCCCTTTCTTTGACATGATTGTTTCTTGTTCAGCCCAACCCCCACCCCCCCCCCAGCAGGAGAGAGAGAGAGAGTATGTGTGTGTGCGTGTGTGTGTTGTTGTTGTTGCAATGTTTTTTTTACATAATGAATGGGAGAAAGAGTGTGTTTTGCAAACAAG